AGCTGGTACAGATGTCATCGGCTCGCGACAGCTGCACTCTGGAAAGCTCTGGAAAAAGCGCCATCTCTTCCGCTTGCTGAGCCGGTCTCGGGCGCTGGGCATACCCTTTCACAAGCTCACGAATGCTAGGCTGCTAGGCCACGCTCTCCCTCCAGGGATGGAAGACGAACAACAACAATCACCAGACTGAAAGGGAAAGAGACGATGGCCCAGCTACATGAAGTGGGATCTCGCCAAGGTCCGTCGTTGAAGTGACCGCCCCGTTGATCGTTGACGTCTGTATAGACTTGACCGGTCCACGGCAGACGGGCAGACGGAGGCGAAAGACCCAGGACGGACGTCCGCCTTGGAGCACGATTCACCCGAAACCAGGATCCGTGCAGCACAAGGATCTTGTGACCCAAAGGCTCATTGTATCCGAACCTATGCAGGGCTCCGACCCGAATCCGAACTGGGTCAGGGGGACCCCTGACTGGGTCCCCAATCATGTATGGTTTCGAGGGCCCAGTCGGGCGTCGTTCAGCGTCGCGTCGCGTCTGGGGAGGTGAAGATTCCTTTCTTTGCCACGGCGGGGCTGTTTGAAGCGACGCATGACGCATGAGGAAGTCGAAAAGATGAGGAAGACCACAAAAATGCAACAGATGCTTTGAGTGAGTGGGCGTTGAGCGTAATGCGAGGGGCAAAGCCGGCATGTGATTTGGGGTCCATGTTGGGTCTGTTTTCTTTTTAGCCGGCAACTCGCAAGTTTTAAACACATTCTGGGAGGATATTGCCGGTGGCAAGAAACTTTCCTTTGAGTAGGACGGGAGTCATATGGTATGGGATTGACTCCCAGACAATTGACTGTCAGATGGTATTCTGGGACTCATGCCTTGCTTGGTAGGTCAGATGGTGTTCTTTTCATAGGCCTTTCTTCACCACACCCTGACTCCACTCTGCACCGTGGGCGGCCCTTTTGCCACCGCAGCCCCCCGGCCGCAGGCGCCAGCCGCGCGTCCCTCTTCGACGACGCGCCGCGCGCGGCGCCGTCGAAGCCTCGCGCCGAAGCGGTGCGGCCCGACGCACTCCGCGAGGACCGACGCCGAAGAGGGAGAGAGAACGCGGGAGGGAGCCACCACTGACTCCCGGCAGTGTAGGGGGAAGTGGAGTGTTCATGTCCATGTTTTCAAACCTTCAAACGTTGAAGAGTCTGACCAGACCTTAGGGGCGAGAACGTCCACATGTTAGTGAGTCGCAGTGTAGGTGACCAACTGCACCTACCTGGGTCAAACTGACCAAGCCACGGTCAAGGATGCGATGACTGTCCTTGGTGACTTGAAAACCATAAGGTCCTTCAAAACACGGAGAGGGAGCATTCCTACAGCACGAAGAATGGCACGCACAGATCGCTTAACAATACATGGGCTTGGGGTGCAATTTCGATGCTTTGACCAACAGCAGCATCATCACTTTCTCCCACAGATCTGCTGATTTGCTTGTGACTTGACGGTGATTTGACGATGCAGTCTTGTGCCGGAGCAGGGGAATGTTCTATATTTTGTTGACCAGCACACGACCAAAGGGTTTTTGTAATTCTTTTCATCTGCTTCCCTCGACTACTGAGGACTGGCTTTCATCTATATACTTCCACCCAACTACCTGTTCTCAGATCAACTGGTTTTCATCTTTAATGAATCCACCCAACTCTCACTACCTGGATTCTCAGCTTGTCTTATCTATTTTCAGCGGACTGGCAGGGCCTTGGGAGCTTCTTCGCTGCTGCATATAGTTCAAAGATGTTCAACGCATGCCACAGAACAAAGACTAAAGGGACCAACCATTGCCAACCGAGTTGACAGCATTTTTGTGCCTTTTCACCTGAAGCCACAAAGCATGGTGCTTCTTTCTTGCTGATGAGATACTGAAGAAATACGTCTTTGGAGTTTCTGCTCGGCAAGAAGGGCCCGGACACTTGAGATCACAATCGACGTGCATCAACACGGGAGACCCATTGGTGACCCGGGGCATGCTTCTGCGCTTGACCCTGAGGGATTCCGAGCACGAACCCGACCAAGCAAGGCCTAGAAACTTACTTATACCAGCAGCCCGCAAACCCACGAAACATGCAGGTTTTCACATACAACAACCGTTTTTTGGCTAGGGAACACCATGTTTTTGATGGTTGTGAGGTCCCTGGTACTTCTACCAAGAAATCTCGTGACACTGGCCCCCAAACCCATCTTTCCAGACGCCGCCTTCCACACATGGCCCGCACATGGCCTCCCCACGTGGTCATGTGGCCCGATGCTCTTGCGCGCGCCGGTGCGCCGCGCCCCCAACGCGTCGCCGCCCTCGATCGGCGATGCCCGTCGCTGATGGACGGCGGCCGATGCTGCTGGTAGGGATGACCTCGTTGCCCTCCAGGCGAAGATGGAGACGGCATGGGGTGGAAGCAGGGCCGGCAAGGGATCTGAGGTGACCAGAGGATGTTTTGGACATTTCCTGGTGTCCAGGATACAACGGAAGGGTTGACTGGGTTGGTGGTTTCGAATAGATTCGATCGATCTTGGATTCCTGGCTTAAACCACTCACCACCTTTGATGGCCTAAACTGATTTCCCGTCCACCGCCACAGGCTTCGAGGAGCCTGTGCCGCGTTGAAGTCCATCGCAGCACAGACCAAGACACCGATCTGCAGTGGGGGGTCTGTGTGGGGCCTGTGTGCCATGAAATCGCAGGGGGCGGGGCGTATGTGGGTGAATTTTGGCCGGGGGCACAATTGAGTTATAGGGTAATCGAACCCTTCAATTATATTGGGGGATGCATTGATGAGCGGGATCCGGAGAAACCCTGGGATGAACATGTCCGTCATCTACAGCGGCCCACCTGATCCTTTTGTTTTCGCGTGGCGGTTTGGCTGATCAGAGTGATCCACAGCGGCATTGGAGCTGATCTCCGCCCGGTCGGATCGCAGTCTCTTCCCTCAGTCCAAGCAGATTTCCTGGCATTTGCACTGGCCAACTAGTGTTGGAGCTTTCCAGGGCCCTCAAGGGCAGGGAGCCTTGATGGGGGAAGAAGGCCACTTCGCTTCAGGCGTAACAGATGGTTGGCCAGTTCGAAACACGCTTGAAGCGAAGTGGCCTTCTTCCCCCAGCAAGGCTCGCTGCCCTCGAGGGCGGAAAGCTCCAACACCTGGCGAGCCGAGCACCCTTGCGGAGCAACCAGTTTCGGGCCAAAACATCCGCCAGATCATGCAAGCAAGACATGGTGCAACACTTGCCAAGCAGTTTGGGGCTCAACGCAACTTGCAGACGTTGAGGTTCAAGCTTCTTGGCATCCACATGGTAACCGAGATTCTCAGCAGGTGAAGGGGGAGAGGCAGATGACCAGATGACGAGAGCTGAAGTGACAGATCAAGGAGGGCACTTTCTTTTGGACGAAGGAAAACGAAGGAAAAGGACGGCCCTGGGGTCCCCTGGGGTCTGGGGAGAAGAGCGTTGTTGGAGACAGGTTGTTCGATCCTTCACAGGACTTTTGTTCGATCCTTCGCTTTCAATTGTGAGATGCAACACGACCAGCGACCAGCGATCTGGGACGATCCATCTACACGACCAGCTGGCGAGTGACTGCTAGAGTGACCTGCTGGTGTCTCTGGTGTTCACGGTGGTTCTCTTTTTTGTCAGGTTTTACTGGGCGACGATGGAGTCGTGGAGTCCGTTTGGAGAGTTGGAGACCAGTTGCTGGGGCTATCATGAAGAAGCAGATGGGCAATCAGCGCTGCGACGGCGACCGCGGTGAGCGACCAGCTCGTGTTGTTGGCACTCCGATCGACCGATGCCGAGGGGTGCCTCGGGATTGCAGCTCGAAGTCACAAAGCTGGACCATCCCGAACTCGGTGACCCACATGGGGATCGTATTTTCCTCGGTGAATTCTGAAAGGCTTCAGAACTGCTCGTTGGCGAGCTTGAACTCACCCACATTGGGGATGCGGCCGAAATCGGGATTGCAGCTCTTTGGTGAGCTTGTCCATCCCTGTACATCCGTGGCCCAGATTGGGGAGTATGCCATGCCTATCCAGGGTCGCTCTTCGCCCCCTGGATGTGGGACTCAGCCGTGGTTTTCGGGGCCGCGGCTTTCATGTGTCCCGTGGTGAACCCGCATGAATCGAAATCTGAAAACCCGAAAAGGGGTGCACTTTGGCAGGTCTCAAGTGTATGCCCAGTATACCTGGATCTTCCAAGTATGCAACATGTCTGCCTTGCGGCTGATCTTTGTGGATGAAGAGGCAGACATTTGCGTAGAAGATCCAGATATACCAGCACCCTCCAACAGGTCTCCTCTTGTGACTTTTGCAGACTTCAAAGTCGCGGGTGGTGACCTGTTGGAGGGTCCTGGTTATGATATATATATATATATTATTGGAGGCAGCTTGAAACACACCACCGGGCAGACATGAAACATCATGAAACGAACCCTCAAGCCTCAAGCCTTGAGCCCATGTGGATTGGTATAGCAGCTGGCATTCCCATGGAGGTTCTAGATTCTAGGTCGTTCAAAACCCATTCTTCTAGGCCCTCAAGGTTTGAGGAGTGGGCTCATCTGCCAGTTGCAGCTACTCCAGGATGGTTGTAACAATAGACCAGTTGCCAATGGTGCACCCATGTCTTTCTCGCATCAACAGTGGGTTTCTCCAAATTGTTTTGGTTACTCTAAGCAAATCTGAGTTCTAGATTGGGGATTTGAATCATGTTTCATCTCTTCCACAGCCGGGGTACCTAGCCCTGTCTGCGATGCGTTCCCCCAAAACGAAGCAGCTCTTGGTGACACAGGGGCCCTCACCCCACCTCCACCGGCGCTTCACCGCGGACCGCGCCTGATCGCGAGGATTCCGGATCGCTTGATCCTGTCGTTGCCACGTTGCTCGATCCGCGAGGGCCGAGCCTACGAGATTCCCCGAGAGCTCCAGGAGTTGACGTCAGAACACCCATGGATGCAGGTGCGCCAAGGGTACGGTATAAGCGCTAGGTGGCTCTGGCCACGGTCTCCGGTGGACACTCCGGGGGGGTGTCCGGTGTGGGGAACAACGGAGCGTCCGGCCAAAAGGGCGGTTTTCACGGTATTTGCTTTGGCGGGAAATAGCACCGGAGCTGAAGAATGTGTGAAGGATTTGGTAGTTCTTAAAGAGTTCAACACTGTGGTTTTAACAATGCCTGCACCACAAACTTTCCCTTGGGGGACTTCAGAAGCCTTTTGGTCCTCAAAGCAAGAAAAAGCAAACGAGTCTCAGTTCCAGCAGTGCACTCACCATTTTAGATGCCACTCGTGCCGTTAACCCACACGCGATCTACCTTTTTTCACACTGCACACGATCAGGGCGATGTCACACGTTTTGTTTTTTCCTTCCCAGGTGCCCGCCATGTTTCAACAGGAAAGAACCTTGTTACATTCGTAAAAACACAAACACACAACAAACACAGTTTAAATGTTCTTAACAGACACATGCACGCACACTTAAGATGAGTGCTCCGTGGACCTAAGCTTCAGTGTTGCGCGGTGAGCACTAACACTTTAAGCTTAGTTACTGCAACACCAGACTAGAGCGCTCAGACCTCTACCTGTGAAATGGCCCTGTGAGGAACGGTAAGGCGAGAAAGTCCGAGAACAGTATACACACACACAGCATGTGTTTTTATCAAACAAGAAAAGCCGCCGGCATGCATTTAGTTGTTTATTAACGCAGGGCACTCAGCTGCCGAACTCGATCTTTCTCATGCGAAGGTTCTACCAAGCTTGAACTCAGGGGACTGGCATATTGACCTACACTGCGGTAATGTAGACTGATGACTAATAACCCCAGCCAATTGAATTGAACATCCTCTTCATATGGGGGGTATATTAATCAAGAGTCTACAGGGTCGACCTTTATCTTCCAGCGTTTGGGTATGGCCGTGGCTGAAAACTAGGGCGCCACCCAAAATCTCACCAAGAGCTGCAGTTTATTTGTGGAGTCTCACTGTCTTGAGCCAGGCCCATAAAGAACACGAAAGTATAGCCACTGGTAGCCACTGGCCCTAAAAAACAAGGTCAAAGGCGCAAATCTTTCATTTTCAAACCCGTGCGTTTGCTTACAATTGTCAGCCCCATGTGTAACACGCAGACTCACTTGTGTACATAGCCTGAGAATTCCAGACTCGGATCCGAACGGCGCCCGAGGCTCCGGTCGTCTCGCGCCATTCGGCGGGGTCCCGACGCACGCGGAAACGGCGACAACGGCCAGGTGCACTGGTTGGAGGAAGATTTTGGTCCAGGGACCAAACTCTTGGGAGTGATTGATTGGTTTCAGAGACCTGGATGAACGATGAAGACTTGGATGAACGATGTTTTTCAGGCGGTTCTGCTTGAGATGTGTCCATCTCCGAAGGAAGAGGTTCGTTCCAGACCTATTGGGTTTCATTCCAGACCTATAGGTCCCTTGCTGTCAAATCCAAGGAAGTATTTGGGGGACCCAGTGAATGGCGACATGCTGATGCTGCTGGATGACGACCATGCTTATTTGCCTCATGCCATCGACGATCTCTGGCACAAGCAGAGCTCTTTGGGCACTGAATACGTGAGTGCCTCGGTCCACCGAAGAGTCAGTGATCTTTGGAAGATGTGGGAAGACTTTTTGTACTATTTTGTTATTTTGATGTCAACCCCTTTTGCAGAGTTTTTCATTAACACAAATTGCTAGTTAGTATGCTTGTAGTTTCTGTTCACACAAAATATGTATGTTTTAGATTTCAACATGCTTTTGCCTTGGTTGTTTTTGCTTTGGCTTCTTGCACTTTGGCCGTGGCTTTCACCGGAACCGGTTTTGGGGCCGTGGCAAAAAAGGCATTCATTCGCCCAAAAAAGACTCACTGAAGCAAGGTGGAGCCACCGGGAAAGACATGATGCATATATTGATTCACATTCGACTTACCCACCTTTTACCAAAGAAGATCTCCGACACCTCACCCACAACACCCTAGAACATCTCAGAATTGCAGAACATCCCAAGTACTGGTATCATACAAGAAAGGCATCCCACAGCCCACAACCTCCCAAAAGCACATGGCGCATGTATCACATCCGGTCCCTAGTCAATACCCATCATGAAACACCAAAGAGATCGCCGCGTCCGGCATCTACGAATCCTCGGCTGAGAGCTTTCTCCCCTCTTTGTCCTCCAGAATGGGCGGCCACAGCTCTCCAGTCAGGCTCCACCTTTTTTCAGGCTCCTATTTCGCGTACTTCTTCCGTGGAGTCATGGTGCCCCAGGGCGCGGACATCGTGGCGGTGCAGCCGAAGGATCGTCTCTGGATGGCGCAGCTGCAAAGCTTCCATCGTCACTTCGTGGCGGAGCATCCAGCGGCCTTTTTGGTGGATGACCTGTGGGCGGCCATCTTCTATTTTGCCACGGGGATGCCTGGCCAAGCTGGAGTGGCTGGAGTGGCAGAGGTGGTAAGTTAGAGGGACTCAGAAAGGGTGGTAAGTCAGGAGTAACCCAAACAGAAACATGGGATGCCGAGGGGGCGAAGAGCCGAAACAGTGTTTCATTTGGTGGGTTTTCTGCTGGACCATGGGTTGGTGGTCCAGGAAAGAAGACTTATCAGAGGTGATTCGCTGGCTTCAAGGGTACTGGGGCCCTGGGGCTGAAGGATCTGAGGGTTTCTGGTGCCTTGGCAGGCTAAACTGATGTGATTGGATGCTGGGAGTCCGGGTCACTGTGATGAAACATGACAATAGCCCTCCAAGTCGCAGTCTAACCCAGTCCTGAAAACCTCGTTTTCGTCGTGTTCTTGCAAGGCCAACTCCAGTAACATGAGGTTAAAGTGACTGGCCGGTAGGCGACTGAGATCGAATATGGGACTTCTTCCATTCCGCTTGGCCCAAAACGGATGGGTGGCCCTGGCCAAGCCCCTGTTTTGATCGGTCATGTTGGGTTTCTTGATCCGGCGCTTTGCGGCGGTCTGACCCACTGGCAGAGACTTGTTTCATTGCCACTTGAGATCACCTCAATGGCAGAGACTTGTGGGATTAATCATGGCTCCAATATCAAATATATCATTGACATCCAGTAGAAAGCATGTTCTTGCAGTGTGAGGCGGATGGAGATGGGTTTGAGCTACTGGAGATCCACAAGAGGTGCTGCCAAACCGTTGCAGCTTGTACCACCAGACTAAATCATTAGTGGACCAAGAACACTCTTACTCATCAAATCCCATCCAAGCAAATCCTGAAATTTTCGAGTCTCGCCTGAAGTTTCTCTCCCAGTTTCTCCCAGTCCTCCGCTTTTCCTCCCCCTTCTGCTCTCACCCTGCTCTCGCCCCCTGTCGCGCCCGACCCGAGGAAGGAGGTGCGCTCCTTCCGCGACTCGGTGCTCCGCCGTGGCGTGGAGACCATCTACACCAAGACCTCCAACGCCTCGGTGGAGGCCCTCATGGACTTGGAGGCGTGGAATAGAAGGGTCCGGCGTTCCCCACGGCGTTCGAAGTGGTGGGGTCCGGTGCGACACAAATGGGGGGACTTGGCTTTCGGGAGAAAAAAGAGAGCCGGAGGGATGTCCGAACTGGGAAGTGAAGGCACTGGTTGGTGGTGAGTGTGACTTCTGGTGACGTGGAGATGTTCTGGTGAAAGCCTTCCAGCCGTTCAGAGGCCACCTTTTGCACCCTCGTGGATCGTGAGTGAACACTGGTTTCCAGACATCAAAATGCATCCGTGAAAGACACCCTGTTGCAGGTTTCCGTGTTTTCCGGTTCCCAGGAAACCTGCAACAGTCGGTATATATATATATAGTATATATGATATATGATGATATATCCACTATTTTAGTGAAAGGGCCTTGACCAACCATCCATCATCCCCTGTTGGGACTGGGATATCTCTTCCAACAGATCGACACAAATCACCGGTGGGCGTGGCGTGTGGCCGTTCGACCGGCCGGATGGAGACATCGGACGGAAAGCAGCCGCCGTCAACAAGGCGGAACAGTCATGGCAAACAAGGCTCATGCAAATGGCAAGGATACTTCCTGGAAGGTCAAGCTATCATGGTGGACCCGGGCAGGTTTTGACAGGTTTTGACCCAACCCCAAAGATGCAGCATGTTGGAACACTTGGAACCGATTGAATGGGATGGAAGTAAGGGGACCAGAACTGTCCGACATGTATGGGAACAGTTCGCAGAAGCAATCGTCTTTGCCGCACAAAAAACCATGCACTGAACTGCCAACCGAGCCCGACTGGCAACCGCCTGACTGGGCCCAACTAAAGTATGGCCTTTCGGTGAATTTCGGGTTCGACCCTACGACACAGGGTCGACCCACAGTTGGTGGAACTGGTCCCAAGACTGCTTCAACCAAGACCTTGGTTGAACGCACCCGTGTTCTGGACCATCGAATGGTCGAATGGATGTTTGGTATGTTTCATGATGCTCGGCTTGAAGGTGTCTGAGTGTTGATTTGTTCAGTTGGAATTGGTGGTGCAGTCCGCCCTGTCCTCCAGATTCCTCCCGTCTCGATGCACCCAGTCCGTCCTGGAAAACAGACCGCCCACCGACCTCCGTGCAGGGCGCCGCCCGGCGCGATCGAGCCATGTTGGCCTGCTTCGACCATCTACTTCAAAGGCTCCTGGCAGTGCCACCTGGGAGCCCGAGCCTCGAGTGCATCGGTGCGGTGGTGAAAGATGGCACAAAAGAATCGGCCCAAAAGACCAGACCAAAGCTTCGTTGTGTTTTACAAAGGCCAGGACCTAACGGTTAGACCTCCTCCCTTTTAGTAGGCCACCCTACTCCATGTTCTACTCTTCCCCAAACCACTGTCAGCCACCTTCATGCCATCGACGCCCTGCCAGGTGGCGCCCCTTCAGCGCTCCGCCTGCGGCGCCTCGCCGCTGAGGTGGCGCTGGCCGAGCGGCGCATGGCCGAGCTCCACGCGGAGAGCGCGAGTGCGGAGCGGGCGCCGCGTGCCGCGGCGGAGCTGGCGAAGTTGAGGCATCTCTACCTGATGCAGGGCGAAGTTGGCCAACAAAAAGATGGGAACCAGTGGGGTGGAGGTTGGGCGAGCGTGGTAAAATATGGTACATGGATCTTGACATCATGATCATCATGGAAGTGCCCAAAGCTGCAGATGGTCCATGTCCATGAATTTCCATGAAGTCCTTTGCAACAGGGGGGGGGCATGGATCCTGTTTTCCATGACTTTGGGAGAGAAGGTAGGTATGATTGGATCATTTCTCGTTTGTTGGGTGAGAGTGTTTCACCCATGTTTGACCTTTGCGTGGGACGGGCCACCATGGGCCATCCAGATGCAGGACCAGCGCGACCGCTTCCGACCTCCGATGGCTCGGCAGGTGAGGAGAGGGAGGCCAAATGGCCAAGGCCAAATGGCCTGGGCTTGGGCCAAGTTCCCCGAGATCCGAAAGATGGCCATGACTTGCCATGTTTTAGACCACTGTATCACATGATCATAACCATAACCACACTCTACCATACGTTACCTCAGTCTTTTGTCACTTTGCCACCTAAGCACTTGAGTCTGTGATGAGTCACCCTCCAAATTGGCCTGTTGCAGTAACACCAGTTGGAACATTCTTGACACAGCGGACCATCTTAATGTATACTTGATTCATAAAGACCCCCATTTGGATTGAACAACTTGATATGGGGCCTCTTTTTGAATTGAGAGTCTGCAAAAAACATGGTTATGTGATGTGATACTGTTGATCTTCCCTGGATTATATAAAGTCATCCTCCAAGAATCTCTCTTGGTTCCTGCTGGACCTCCCCCTCCCACCACCAGCTCTCGCTTGGTTATCCGCAGATGGACCTGCAGGTCTCGGAGCCGCGGCACAGCCTTCAGATGGAACGCGAGGCGAACAAACGGAGAGACCCAGACAGGGGAGACCTTTCCAAGAATTCCGGGAAGAAGGACAGTGGACCAAAGGTGCATTTGGTTGGGGATCTGTTAAACCACACAGATGTATGGCGGCACCCGGTGGCGACTGCCGAATGGCATTTGGTACTGTGAATCCATCTTTGGGGCGTACTAGCATGTGCTAGCCGCACTGTTTTTAGAGTTCGAGGAAGATCTGAGGGTGTGTAGCTACCCTAGCTGCCCTAGCAGGACCTCCAGCCAGTTCGAGTTCCCTCCGGGTCCAGCTTAGGGTTCGGAACACCGAACCGCACCCGGGCGCTGTTCTTTCGAAGCTCCTGATAGAAAGAGAAGGAGTGGGTGATGAAGAGGAAGAACCCCTGTTTGAGCCCCAAGGGTTTTCAGTCTTTGGGTTTTCATGATCGGGGAGGAGCGGAGCAAGGTGGCTGGAGCGAATCGATGCGGATCTATGGTGATCCAAAGAGTTCACATCCTGGACCTTCATGTCTGTGAAACAATGGAGATCCACAGGTAGGGCGACTTGGTCAGTCCATGGCAGACTTCGAACCCGGGGGAACCCGGGAACCCGGGTGTTTTTTTTTTCAGGTTGAATGGACCCCTGGGAGTCGACTCGTCGACCATGTATCAAATTGGGTTTCGACCTGGTGTTGTAGTGTCAAATCCTTAGGAAAGCGGCTCGCTGTAGTTCGGTCGTTCGCCATTTAGACGTTTGGTGGTGGGAATCCCAGCGGAATGGACATGAACAGATTTGAAGATTCATTCTGGGGATGCTTGACTTTCCGAAGCTGCAGAAAGGAGTGAAGCTGCAGAATGCTGCAAGTATTTTTTCCCTGCGACAAAGGGTGGAGTGAAACTCTGTTTTCCAGGTAGGTGGAGGGGATTATAGAGAATCCAACAAGGATACTCTCAGACTCTCTGCGTTCAGTACACTTCGATTGTTTTTCTTTTTCTTCAATTTGATGTGAGAACAAGCAAGGAGAACATCGTAGCACTCAGCGCACTTTCTTTTTAGGCATGCCACTGATTTAAGGAGCTAAGAAGAACTCCCGCCACTGATACACCGTTTCGACGGTGATTTCGAAGGTGATTTCCTCGGTGAACCTTTATGGCCCCCCCAGATTACAGGATGTGGTGCAACAGGCATGCCTGTGCCTCCGATCGACGGTGTGAGGATGATTTGAACTCCATCAACGAGTCTAAGTCATGCTAAGTCAACGAGTTCCCCAAGAGGCAAATGCTAAGGGCGTCCAAGTCTAAGACAGACAAATATAAGGAATAGTCAGCTCAAATCCAAATCCATCAAGATCTTGAAGCCATGGCGAAGAGAATTTCAGCACTGCAGCCGAGTGGTGAAGTCATGGTTCTTGAAGTCACGCCAGAGATGACAGGCCTGGCGCTTAAGCAGCAGATCAAGGAGGGACAGCCTTGGGACGAGCTCACTCGCAGCACTACAGGCGTGGAGATCATTGCGGGAGACAACCACCTGCTGGACAACTATGCAAAGGTCTTGGATGCAGGAATTTCTCAAGATACTGTTGTGAGTGTTGTCTTCAAACCAAATGTCGTGACATGCTCTGACAAAGATTCCATCGCCAGTTTGGGCGGCATCATTGACTCCGAGCTGTTGCTTGTGGTCGAAATTCCAAATGATGAAACACAAATCCATGAAAACGCTTTTGAAGATTGCCACACATTGGCCAAAGTGACCATCCCAGACTCTGTGACCCACATTGGGACTGGTGCCTTTGCAAATTGCAAGGCTTTGGCAAACTTGACCATCCCAGACTCGGTGACCCACATTGGAAACGATGCCTTTCAAGGATGCCTCTCGTTGGCGAGCTTGACCATCCCGGACTCAGTGACCCACATTGGGGAACGCGCCTTTGACAAATGCACCTCTTTGTCAGACCTGACCATTCCAAGCTCAGTGAAGCACATTGGGGGGTGGTGCGTTTGCGGATTGCAGCTCCTTGGCACACTTCACCATCCCGGACTCCATGACCTACATCCAGGAATTTGCCTTTGCTGGTTGCAGCTCTTTAGTGAACATGACCATCCCGGACTGCGTGACCCACATCGGAGCTTGTGCCTTTGAAGATTGCACTTCTTTGAAGAACTTGACCATCCCGGACTCCGTGACCCACATTGGAGATCTTGCCTTTGACGAGTGCGGCTCCTTGACCAGCTTGACCATCCCGAACTCGGTGACACACATCGGATATGGCGCCTTTGATAATTGCACAGCTTTGGTGTTGAGAGTTTCTGCTGTCTCTGGGACCAGGTTCGAGATTGACGAACTACGGGGGGTGCAAAAGAATCATAGCCAAAGAGTGTTACTGTCACGAATGTGAATACAGCTGGTTTCTGAAAGGCTGGCTTTGTCCCCGACGACCGTGAGCGCCAAGCCGCTCCAGGAAGACCTGCGAAGACGAGGATGGCGACCTTTCGGGAAGTCGGCGAAGAAAAAGCGACATCGCATCGCATCGCAGTGCCAGGAGTCACAAAGGGGTGCCCAGAACATCCACTCACTGAAGGGGGGGGGCTCAAAGCCCTTCCATTTTTGACCCTTGGTGCTTGACCTTTCTATCCATTTCTGGGGGTCAGCTTGGGTCAGGCGTGCTCAGTCGGTCCACCCCTGTCAGGTGCCACGGGAGCTGCCCTCAGAAGTGTCGGGCCCCTCCTACCAGGAGTTGCTGGCAGAGAACAGGCGCAATGGGTGACGTGAATCTGGCGATGGGTCCAGTGCTGGTCCACTTGCAAGAGAGGTTTTTCACAGCTTGAAAACGCCCATCCCTGGTCTGTACCACCTATCCCAGGGTCCGAAGCGGTCTCGCGGTCTCAAAAACCTCTCTTGGTTTTGCTTTACTCTTGTGACTCTTGTGGGATCGGATGACGTGACGTCCCAATCTCCTCGTCTTTCCAGATGTCCAAGCCATGACAAGCCCTTTCGTCAGTCCAGATCCTGCCAAGCTGGGGACCGTTTTCCTCCGGCCTCTCTTCCGGTCCGGTCCGGTCGAGGTTTCGGTGGCGAACGGGGGGGCATTTTCACCGGGCAGACCGCCGCCCCGTCGCCAGCGAACTGCGACGGTGAAACGCTGGAGGCATTTGAGCCCTTCAAATGGTGGTGACCCTGCAACCCAGGCCCAGCATTTTGGCTTTGTGGTGGCATGTGGCCATCACGGACGTTGGATTCAATTCCAAGGGCCACTGCTCGAAGTGGTCGCCTTGGATTCCTGGGCCACTGCTCCTCCAACAGCTCCAATTCACCGGTCCCGACCGCGACCGCGACGGGAGGCGCTTGCGGGACGAGATGTCGGAGCTACGATTGGAGCTGGAGAAGTGTGGGAGCGACCGTCGTTGGGAGACTGGGAGCTGGAGTGTGCGACAGGTGGGAGACGGCCCAGACAAGTGGCAAAAGGAACATGTGTATGGAACCACCCAGACTGGACTGGACTGGCTGGCTAGGAGGTCCCAGTTACACATTTATCCCTTTCTTGTGGCACTGAACTTTGATTGCAGGTTTGGTTCCTTTTACCACGGGTACGGGTACGCATCAAGGGCAGCATCGCTACTTGGAGAAGGTCATTTGTCCAAGAGGCTATTGAGGCAACCCATGGCAACCCTGAAACAAATACAACGTGAATAATTGCATTTACCATTACCATTCATGAATCAACGCTGGACACTATATATCTTGGAGTTCTGGGAGAACTGGGGGCAGATGAAGAACAAGACCGTAAAGCCCAGCCTCGTCAATACATCATGCTGGATGCACTAGATCGACCCGAATCGATGGTTTCTCTTCAATCCAGTGGTCTTCCAGTCTTTCATCCTGCGTCCCTTTTCAAGGAATTCTCTGTGCTCTGCTGGTGAGCTCGCGCCGGTTTTCTGCAGTTTCTCAGACATCAGCGCCGACCAGCATGTGGCACATAGACCGACCAGCATGTGGTTGTGACGAACCAACCCGAGCGGAACCACCATTTTTCAGGTACGACATCACATGGGATGCTTGAGAACAATCACACATATACCGTATCGCAGCTCAGTTGGCAACTGTCCTAGCCGCTGAACAGCACTTTCCTTCTTGCGGCATCTTTTTTTCCAACTTTGCAGCCAGGGGCTTGCCTGAGTGTGTTTGGTCAAAAAAGACGCACCACCCAGAGCGCGACTGTGTGACTGTTTCTCTCCCGCAAAAGATAAGCAACACGCTATATGGACCATATGTTTTATTCCAGAAATGTCGACGGCTGGTTTCTTTTTGGTCCGAGAACGAAAAAGACATGGCAAAGCACAGACCTGCATTCTGACCGGAACTCCACGATTCCTTCGCCCATGCCTTCGCGTGTGCGCACCCACGCGCGCTTGTGCACTGATGACGCCTGAGACGGAGGGGGACAGCTCGCCCAGCAAGAGACGCGTCAAGCGAGAGACACGCGTCAAGAGAGCCTTGGACGCTGCGAGACAGGTGTTGGCGATCGGGTGCGCGGTCGAGGTGAAGATCCGTCACCATCCATGAAGTCACTTCACGACGTGTAAATACATGGCATGTAAACCTGACACTGGATGGCATAGGGGTGGTTTCAGTGGTCAATGCAGTTACCCCTTCAGAGCGGAATCCAACCAGGGCACAGTCGCGGTCATCGGAACCCGCTGCACGAATCCCCACGACCAACTTCGGTTCGGCCGTCACAACAACGGCTGGACCGAGCCAGGATCCTAGCAAACTGCTGTTCAGCCCAGCGTCAAGGATCCTAGCTCAGCTTGGAAGATCTTGGCATGTAGTCTAGAAGAATTCACATTCCACCCCTCCAAGCATCTCCAGGCAAACAATTGAAGGAAGTGTGAGCAGAGACAGCTCCACCCAAACTAATGCAGTTGTTCTCGTCGCAGTACTTCTTTCAGGAGTTTGATCCCTGCCAAGGTCTCGGCCACACTGCGACGAACCGGAGCCGTGAACAGTTCCATCCCACCAGTTGCAGACCCAACAGACCGTCGAGCTGGCACAGGGGCCTCCTTGTAACTCTTCAGGGCTTTGCAGCCGCAAATGCTGCGGTGTTTCATATATGTATACCACGTGTTCAATCACATGCCTAGGCATCGCATGTTAACCTAGGCAAGTGCAAACTGGACCTGAAACAAGTTTCCTAAGTTCTTAAAAGCAACAGATCCCCGCTGCTGGGACTTGGTGAGACTTGACGTTCGCGACCAAACCCCAACCAAAACGGACCGGGACTGCTGGTCTCTGCCGGGCCGAGCGGCCTTTCTTTTCGCCTCAGGATGGATTCCCCTTCTCTTGATTGCCGTCTCCGCCTTGGGCTTTTCGATCCAGGTGCACGGACGGGTCCGATCCGAACATCGCCAGCGTCACCGATGGGGATTGGAGGGAAGGGAAGGGACAGTGCACCGATGAGGGCTGGAACCCATGACGAGGGGAGGAAATCACAACTGCCACTACTGGGTGCCTGGTGTTGTTTGACTGACACCCTACACGAGATGCCCTGCTTTTCCCGCGCACTGCAAGTAAAAATTGACTTGGAATCTGAACATGGGGTCTTTTTGGGCGCAGTTTGACTGTTTCACGTCGGTTTTGGAGGGTGAACGCTCCCAAAAAACACCATCCCGGATCATGCCCTTCTGGATTTGTGACTTGTATATACTTGTATATGTCTCAAGCTGAGGGTCCAACCAGTAACAGTAGTGTTTGGTCAAGTTTCTCTTTGGTCTAGCTCCAGTCTTGAGAGATGCATTCTTTTGCAGCACAAAATGGCACACACACAAACCTCAAAGGACGATGGTCCATGGACTTCCGCCCCGTGACTTCTGCCGCACCGTTCACGCTTTTGGGAGCACCGGGGCCACCGCGCCCCGACCGCACCGGGCCATCCGCACTGCTCCGCAGCGGAGAAACGGCGCGGAGCGGAGGCGTTGATGGTGCAATATCTCACGAAGCAAGGCATCGGAACCTTTCAGGTTCTGATCCTGCGTGGCACCTGCCAGGCCGCGGACCAGGAATCAGGGCAGCGGAGGAATCGCCGCGCGGAGACGGAGTCGTGAGAAGGTGGGGAGCTCTGGTGTGTACATAAATGCCTTTCCTTCGTAAAGAAGAGCGCTTTCTTTTGAGACCCTCGATGCAAAAAAAGCTTCTGCTTCAAACATCAGAAAGACATGTGCCCACAAAAGGAGATGCGTGCACCATCACGTTGAAAACTCGGAGTTCGAATTTCCTGCGGCAAAAACCATCCGTCATCTCCTTGCATTCTCCTGCAACCTGCCAGATCGAGACACCTGCCCTGCCTGCCCTGCACTCATACAGCGCGAGGCCTTGGGGTCCTGCTGTTGCCTGAGTTTCAAGGGTCTTCCGGTCCATCGTTGGTTGGGCGCCACTGCTCTGGAGCGCTTCGCCCTCTTTGGACGCGCCTTCGTGGGCTACGGCGGGGTGTGCCGCTCGGGGCTATGCACGGGGCGGTGGGAGATGATGGGGAGGTGGGAGATGATGGGAGGTGTGTCAAAGCGAGCTGTTTGGGATCGACTTAGGGCGAAGACGTATAAGTTAGTAGAAGGTCTGAATATCGATAAGAGTAGAGTTTTTGGAGCATTTGTTCACACTGGTACACCCCAATATGTTGGAAACACCTGAGTCAGTTTACTCGCACCCGAGATGTTTGCTCGCACCCGAGATGTGAACCTCGATCAGGCGAATTGAGCGCACTGGTTGCATCAGGGAAGCATCAGTTGTCCCATCAGGGAGTGGTTTGCCACTCAGTCGTCCCACTCTCCCTGGTTGCATCAGTACCAAAGCAAAGCTGCAACCAGGGAGAGTGGGACGATGGGACGACTTTTACCATCTCTTACCGCGGTACGACGCGCTGTTCCACGAGAAACGCACCCACTCCAAACCCAACCCAACAAAATCCAACCAACTGAGATGAACCACTCAAGTAACCATGTATGTACATGTATAGTCATTTATATAATATACATCAACATTCAGGTAACATTGGAACACTCAGGTAACCATGTATATACACAATGGTTTCTTTGCTCAACATTCAGATGTCAGCCATTGTCATGACATATACCCAGCGGCCTTATAGCAATCCCCAGGTGCCTCAAAGTGCCAACTCTCTGAAACTTCAAAAACAGTTGTGCGTGTGGGGAACTCGCTGTGGGGGCACCAGGTATCTTTTTTTTTTTTTTTATCTAAAGAGTCATACCTGCAGGGCTTAAATTGGAACTGATACTTATTTATATAATATACGACATGGCTCAACTAATTTGGGTGGTGTGCTAACTGGGGGGGTGCTTTATCCACCAGGCCTGCAAAGTAGATCTAGTCACCCAGTCTTGCTGTCGAGAGTCAACTTCGCGGCATCGTTTCAGCGTCACTGACCTTGGAAATTGATTGCTGAACGCGTTCACCTCACCTGGGTGGAGTTCTAGACTTCTAGACCAAACTGGCTCCAGACTCGCCTCCCCTGTGACTCGGGACACACGTCCCAACCTCCAGACTCGCCTCCCAACAACATCTCCCGCCGATCCCGCGCATCGCGCACCGCGCGATCGCCCAGGCTTCGGCTTCTTGGCCATCGCCCTTATGCCCCTGGCCGTGGCCCGACTGCCCGACCAACTCGGACGTGGGACCGGGTTTGTCTTCGATGGCAACCCATCGGGTGTTGTGAAAAGGGCGGAGGGGTGAAAATCAACAGGGGGTTGAGCATGGTGAAATTTGAGGCCTTTTTATGTGGGGGATGTTCATTTTGTTTAAGCATTTTTTTGTTCAACGCCACATATAGAACGTCAATGAGGTGATGTTTTGGTGGTTTCGTCCAAACAGGTGTCCAAAGAAGGGTCACTCTTTCCAAGATGAGCCCGGGGATGTGGGGATTCAGGGATCAAACTGCCATTGCTTCACCCAATCAGGTTTCAAACTGTTAGATCGGCCATGGGCCACTCAACGGAAGGGTAGTGCACAGAAAGGGTTTTGCAAAACCTATTCTACTAACATCGTGGAAGGCGCGGGACATTCGTAGAACCCAAGGCTATTCGTGGACAGTTCGTGGAATGGTGGGCCAGTAGGAGAACTGACTGCAACGAAATCCCAGAAACCTTCGCAGAACTTCGTGGAAGGTATTTTTGATGCACTAACTTCGTATAACAAGCGATTTTTGCTGACCCCCTTTCTCTACACACCCTCCATTTAGCCTTTATCAGTTCCTTAAAACTTCAAGCTTGGAGGGCTGACAGGACCTCAAACTGCCTCCAGGTTGGGTCATTCGGACAAGTTGGACCATTTGTTTCGGATCTCCAATAGGGAAGTCCATGATTGATCTGTGTGGTCCTGGTGGTTGCTCCTCTTGTTCTGCGGGGCCGAAAAAACCACCTGGTCACCGAGGTGGAACTCCCATCCATTTGGGGTCT